AGCTATTGCCTGTGTTTTCCTTGATTTTACTTATTGTTTCCTTGAGTTCTTGTATGTATGTGTGTGTCTGTATATATATATATATATATATCTGTATATAAATCTATTTTTCTGTTTTATTTTCGTTTGTGGTCTTCTCCTAACCAATGAGAATGAGCCTGGGGAACAGCATTTAACTTTAATTCCAATTAATTGCTTCTGGGTAGATGCAAACCATATCAGAGCACACCTCCTGTCTTCCTCCCTGACCTCGTCCAATGGGAATGGAATCCCCATATTCTCACATCTTCTTTTAACATCACCATTAGTAATGTACTTTACTTGCTACCGTATTCCGTTTAAACCAGCCCTTTCCCCTTCCTTTCTCTCCAGCTCTCTACCTTTACTCCAAGAATCATTCATGAGTAGAAGAGTGTGGTGAAAACTGAGTAGACTGAAGTCACTTCATTTTCTCTCTCTTCCCCAGATTCTAGCCATGATACTAAGAAGAATGCTCAAATTCAGGTGTAATAAAATTAATTCTGTGAATCAACCTGAATAACATAAGCCTTAGTGAAGCAAAGGAAGAGCTCTTTGATATGGGCAGAAAATATTACAAGCCTGGGCCCCAAGTCTCTATCTCAGTACCGGCTGGCCATTGTTCAGCAGGTCCTCCTTGAAGCGAAGTTTTCGTTCCAGGTCTTGAATGACAGCGTCCTTTGTGCCTTGGATTTCCTCATCAGAGGCTATTCTAGCAGTTCTACTAGCTTTCTTTGGAAATCCCCTGCAGGACAAAAACACAGCAGTACAGTCAGGCATAAAAATCCAAGGGAAATATCCGAGCCCAACAGAGAGACAGCACAAGGTGTCAACGTGCCACTCCCACTCATTTTTTATGCTACATCTACTGCAACTAATTGTAGAAAGAACCAGTTTTAGCAGCTCAGGTAACACTAATTGGAACCAGTTTTCTGAAAGTTCAAATACCTTTTAAGGGGCAGAATACCTCAGTGGAAGGAGCCCTGGTGGCACAGTGGTTATGCACTTGGCTCTAACCAAAAAGTTGGCAGTTCAAACCCACCAGCTGCTCCGTGGGAGAAAGATGTGGCAGTCTGCTTCAGTAAAGATTTACAGCCTTAGAAACTCTATAGGGGCAGTTCAACCCTGTCCTATAGGGTTGCTATGAGTTGGAATCAACTCAATGTCAGTGGGTTAATTAGTTATACCTCAGTAGTAAATGCCAAGAATAAGGAAGGCCTATGTTTTTGTTCCAAGGAGGCAACAATGGAAAATGAAAAAGTGATAGTTTGTAATTAGACAGGTTTAAAATCTGGCTCTGCCTTGTATTAGGCTTTTGACTTTCAGAAAGTTTTATAACTTCTCATTAAATGGGTATAAAAATATGTACTACCTGATTGTTGAGCGCATCTGAGAGCAAAGTTCTATCATACTTTCACTTATTCCTTCTGATCCTTAGTAACTCATCTATTCAACAACAGTGCCTACTAGCTTATTCTAAGCAAATATTAAATTACCTTCCATCTCTACCTGTTTGATCCTAAATTGATTATGGTAAGCCAATGTTAGATGCTGAAAGGTCTATTTCATACCAAAGGTCCTTGGGGGGGTCTGCAGGTGCCACTACACCTGGTATACCCCAAACTTCCCAAGGCTCCTGGAGAGCCTTAGGCTTTTAGGACAGGTGACACCTCACGACCTTTCTTTCCAAGGGCAGCAATAATATCCTGAGTCCTGTGAGCTAGGGCTGTTTGATGGGCATGGAATCACTATCTTTGGTGCTGTCAGCAAATCATTTCCTATTTATCTTCTTTTTCCCTCACAGGGCTGTGGGTAGAGATGAATGAGAAATGGAATACTATACAATGGTGAAAATAAATGAACAATAGCTACCCATATCAACAAGGCTGAATTTACAAAACATCATATCATGTTAAAAAATAGTAAGTCATAAATACATACAATATGACTCCATTTATAAACAGGCAAATGTTAACAGTCTTTTGCTAGGATAGTGGTCCTCAAAGTGTGGGCCCTAGACCAGCAGTATCAGCACCCCTGAGAAATTGTTAGAAATGCAGATTCTTGCCTCAATCCAGACTTACTACATCAGAAACTCTGGGCTGAGAACCAGGAATGTGTGTTTTAACAAGCCTTCTATGTGATTCTGATACATGTGAAAATTTAAGAAAAACAGCTTAGGGAAACATACATACATAGTAAAATTATAAAGAGAAGTAAAAGACTGATTAACTTAGAAATTACTCCCTGAGGTATTATAGATTAAATTATGTCTCTTGAAAATGTGTGCCAACTTGGCTGGGCCATGATTCTTAGTAGTTTGGCAGTTATGTAATGATGTGATTTGATGTGATCAGCCAATCAGCTGTAACAGGATTAGGGTGGGATGTAACACCCTTATTCATGTCACAGCCCTGATCCAATGTAAGGGGATTTTCCCTAGATACGGTCTGCATCACTTTTTATTTTATAAGAGATAAAAAGGAGAAAGAAATGAGCAGAGAAAAAGGGACCTCCTGCCATCAAGAAAGAAGAGCTGGGAGTGGAGGGCATCCTTCTGACCTGGGGTCTCTGTGCTAAGAAAATCCTTGGCCCAGGGCAACAATGATGACAAGGACTGTCCCCTGAAGCCAAAGAGAGAGAAAACCTTTCTGTGTAGCTGGTGCCCTGAATTTGGACTTCTAACCTCCTAAACTGTGAGAGAATAAATTTATGTTTGTTAAAGTCATCCACTTGTAGTATTCCTGTTAGTTATAGCAGCACTAGAGAACTAAGACATGAGATATTGGTTACCTCTAGGGGAGAATAGGAGATGTAATCGGGAAGAGTTAGACAAGGGGCTTCTTAGGTACGGGGCTTCTTAGAAATGGGTAAGATTTTAATTTCATCATTATGTTTTAAACTGTAAATGTACATTATATGTATTCCCTTACTCATATATTTCACCATAAGGTATTTCTAAGTTAAAAAACATTTATCATAAATCTGTCAATATCATGCCTGACATCATGCACTGATATAATAAAGCACCAGTAGAGGCCAAGATATAAATTAACATTAAGGTTTCACCAAATCTCTGCTTCTCCCCATTTCACCCACAGTGCTGGGAACAAAACAAGCCCTAAGCATCTGGAAACAACTAGTCCAAGGATAAAACGGATGACAAGAACCTCAGCCTTCATGACCCTGAAACCAGAAGAACTAGATTGTGCCCAGCTACCAATGCCAACCCCTCAGAAAGGGATTAAAACTGGAGATCCTGAATAGAGTGGGAGGAAAAATGTGGAACAAAATTAAAAAACACAAAAATGACCAGAATTACTGGTTGGATAGAGACTGGTGGAACCCTGAGACTGTGGCCCTGGATTACCTTTCAGGCCTAGGATTGGACTCACTCCCATGGATTGGCTCTCAGCCCAACAGCAGAAAGACCCACATGCAAATGACCTACCCCAGGGTGATGTGCCCACCTACTCTAGGGAGATGCACCCCTTCGAGCAATCAGCCATGAGACACAAGAGAGGCACCATTCACATAGAGGGAAATAGGAGTGAATAGTTAAAAAGGGCACAGGGAAAGGGTGGTTACAAAGACGGGAGGGGAGAAGAGTTTTTTAATCATTGGGGATGGTAATCAGGCGTGAAGTCAAATGTGCATGAACTGTTGAATATAAAATAAATTTGCTCTGTAAATTTTCACCCAAAGCACAATAAAATTAAAAAACAAAAACAAAAACAAACCTAACTATGTAGTAGAAAATATGAGGCACCTCGAACAACTGTGCACTCCAATAATATGGGTGCTCCTACTAACATCGGTAATATATACTCCTGAGGCCAGTGCTCCTGGTTGTCTTCCCAACAGCCATTCTTTCTTCCTGTCCACTCTCCCTTCTTTCCTTGCTTATTTTTTCATGATTTTGTTGGGTTTTCATCATTTAATGTGCTTTGAGGAGCTGAGTAGTCTCAACCATCTGGACAGTGATTAGTTTAGCCAGATATGACCAGGGGAGTAGGGGTAGGTGAGCGAGAGTGAGGTACCCTACTGAAAATGCTTCCATCTCTAAAAAGAAAAATAGAGGGGAAAAAATGCACCTCATCTTTCACTCGCTATCACCATGGCAGGAATGCAATGCTAAAACCACTGTGGTGACCATGAAGGGAGAATGTCTAACATGCCAATGGTGATAGATTGCAAATATGGAGGGAACCTCAGTTCCTGATAATATTTTTGTGACACAGTGTTAATCTACCATGGAACCACCCTACCTTAGACTTGTTAGGAAAGTGAAAAAAAAAAAAGAACCATGAATTTAATCTATTTGTAGTTGAGTCTTTTGATAACTGAATCAGAAAATACCCTAACTGATAAAACCTGCTTTTTCAGGTCCTTCCTTCCTAATCATTTGCCCCTGATGTTCAAATAGGATGATATTAGGCTTTGACATTAAAGAGACAAATGAAAGAAACAGAATATTGTGATATCCTGTGTTCATAATATCAAAGAAGTGATTGTTAGTGTTGTTGTTAGGTATTGTCGAGTCGGACCCGGACCCAACTCATAGCGTCCCCTCCTTGGGTTTCCGAGGCAGTATCACTACGGAAGTAGATTGCCCCATCTTCCTTCTGAGGAGTGGCTGGTGGGTTTGAGCCTTCTAGTTAGCAGTCAAGTGCCTTAGGCACTACGCTAAGGAAGTGATTAGTATACCTTAAGTTGTATCTTACTCACTCGGAATTGACCATGATTGCAGTGAGCTGAGAAAGTAATCTTAGATATGCTGATAGCAAGAATTGCAGGAATTCTGATTTATGACTTCAGTTTTCAGGATCATGCAATCCCTTAACAGAAATGTGCATAGTTTGCCCATTCTCCTCATCCTGAACCTTTCTCCTCTACTCTTTGTCTCAGGGCTCAGTCATCAGCCTTCAGGGCTTCAGTTTAATGTCTCCTTGGAAAGGATGTCCTGACTAAGTCTACTCCATTAGTTCACATACCATGTTTGTTCTCTTCATCACAACAGTTATCACACTTAATCAGTATATGTTCTTCTGTAAAAGGGCTCTCTCTCACCATCTTCAAATTAATTTGTTGATTACAATGCTTGTCAAACAGCACACACTGCAATATATTTGTGGGCTAAGTCAATGGATGGGGGAGCTCTGGTAGCACAGTGGCCAAGACACTTGCCTGCTAACCAGACGGCTGGCGGTTCAAACCCACCAGCCACTCCTCGGAAGGAAGGTTGGGCAATCCTATTTCCGTAGTGATACTGCCTTGGAAACCCAAGGAGGGGTCGCTATGAGTCGGGTTTGACTCGACGGCACATAACAACAACAACAACAAGTCAATGGATATGCTATGTATCTCTACTAACCTCTCCCTACCTACTTCCCTTCAGTCAAGAAAATTTGTGCTACAGCCATGTGAGTTTGAAAGAAAGCAGATCACATGGAAAACGTCAGGCTCCGGGCAGGTAAAAATTACAAAATTTTGAAAATAATGTTCTACTCTTCTTGTGACTTTAAGTTGTATCTTACAATTTACATCTTACATCTGAGAACTAGAAGACCTAGATTTTGAACTCACCTGAAAGGTAGAGTTGAAGGCAGCTAGCTTTTTGTTACATCAGATATTATTTGGAACATATGAGTTCCCACTATTACTCTAAGCCTGAACAATATAAAGTAGTTGCACAACTATATGATAATGAGTGAGCTTTCGATGACAGAAGGCTTTACTGTGTTT